CAGGAGACATACAAGCCATTGAGTTCACAGTTCATACAGGTGTCTAGCAGGAACCTGAGGGACCTACAGGGGCCAGACTACAGAGAAGCAGAGACTCCAGCCCAGGGGAAAACATGTGAGTAGCCCCAGTCAGACTCCACTGGGCCTCTGTCTGTGTCACCTCCTGGTTCCTGTGATGGCTGTGGGTGGACAGAGGTGCCAGATGTGTCAGGAATGACTATCAATAACCCTTAGCGCTGCAGACCCACCTTACGGAGGAGCCCATGACATGCACCAAGCACCCCCACGTGCCAGGCTGTGTTCAATTCTCAGAAGCTCCTGTGTCCATTGCAGGGCTGAAAGAGCATGGCAGTCGGGGCCACCTCCAAAGCCTGAGCTCCTCCCCCCCACTACCATGGCACCCTCAGAATTCCTGGGGTCATTGGGAGGGGCAGCCAAGGGGAAGGAACAGTGGCCCTTTAAAGGGATGATGGGTTCGGCTTGTGATCAAGGAACTCATGAACCAAGTGGGCGTCTACCAAGCTGTGTTCAAGGCACATTCCTGAGCTCTGAAAGGAGAAATAAAAGTGTTTCCTTGTCTGCTAGCTGAAGAGACGGCAATATTATGGTGTAACTAGGACCAGATGGGCTCCAGGGATTTCCAAAGGCCTTTTAGCATATTAGACAAAATAGCCTCCCCGTCACACACCAGAACTTTGTCTGGCTGCCTGGGTATCAGTTACTGAGATGACTCGTCGGCTGCGTGCACTAGCTCAAGGGTCTCAGAAAGGAGTGGGCCACTGGCTGGGCCCCTGCCTGTTCCTGATGCCCCGGCAGGAATGCCCCCTGGAATGGGACACCTTCCCTAGACTTCCCAGATCAGGGCTCACCTTGAGAATCTCACAGTGGGTGGAATGATCCAGAAGCTGCCTATCAGATTCTCCTGCCCCCCGCAGGTGCAAATCCTTCCCCACCACACCTTCTGGGAGGCTAAGTCACCCCCAAAGTGCAACCAAAGGTAGTGAACACTCTGTGTGAGGGTGAAGCTAAGTCACACATGCCTAGGGCGGGGCTCTGGCAGCATGTCCCCTGTAGGTCCCCTGGCTGTGAGATGTCCTGCCTGGCTCCCACCAGAGACTTCGCTAACATGCGCTGAGACTTGCCAGCTGCCAGGGCTTCTTATGGGGAAAGATGGAGGCTCAGGGGGTGATTTGCTTGCTCAAGGCCTCACAGCCCTGCAGGGCCATGCTGGATGCAGACCCAGGCTCCAACCGCCATGTAACATCGCCCACCATGTCAGCCTCTCAGACCCCAAGGCCAGCATCTGTCCAGGTCTAGTTTTCCCTGTCTGCACAGAGAGAGATTGGACATTGAGCCCTGAGGGTCTTTCCTACACTCCCTTCTGGGCCCCATTTCTGCCTAGAGATGCAGCAGGCCTGGCTCCTGCCCTGAGGAAATTTGGTATCCAATAGAAGAGACTGTTTGGGTCCCAACCCAACCCAGCACGCAGCAGGTACTCAGAAAATAATGGGGTAATGTGTGTGTGTGGGGGGAAATCATCAAATACCATTTTGCAGGTTAAGTGACAGTGGGGCCCACTTGTTTCTGTTGAGGCAACAGCCTGTGTCCCTTGGTAATCACCAGAACTGGATGCAGGCAGCCCAGCACTGCTCAGTGGGGTAAGCACTAGCATGAGCCCCATCATCCAGATGGGCAAACTGAGGCACGGATAGCTGTTGCTTACAGAAATGAAGTGGGAGTTGGTTGCCCTGGCTGCTGGGCCTGTGCCCGTCCCCACCCCACTAACCCGCTTCGGAAAGGAGTTGTGGCTGACACAGGCGAGAGTGACCTTGCAGGTCCTGGATGGAATTTCCAGCCTGGTATATGTGAGGGGGCCCCGGCCTGCTTTACCTGCCTGACCTCCCGTAATCTGCAAGCTACCCTAGGAGGGCAAGGATCCCCCTACCTTAGGAGGACGAAACTGAGTTTAAGTCACTTGCCCAGAGTCGCCGAGAGTCTGGGTTTGAACCCATGCCTGAATCCAGGCCACCCCTCCTGGCCTGGATAGACATTCCTGCTGGGGGACAATTCTCCCAGTTCGTTCCCTGCAGGGGTTGCAGTGGACTTCAGGGAGGCTCCCCAGCACCCCAGGGACCTAGTTGTGATTGACCGATCTTTTGAACCCCCCCAGGAATATGACCAGCCCCTTGGAGGCCAGGGGCTGTTGGGGAGGGGCTCCAGCCTGAGGTGGGTACGTGTGAAGGCCAGAGTGTGGGGGCCCTTGAAGGGCCTCCTCTCAGGCCCCCTCTGGCAGGATTCACCAGGCAACCCACCCAGATGCCCCCAACTAGAGACTGAGAAATGAATTTGGCCCTCCTCCAGGTCAAAGTGGCAAAGACCTGAAGAAAAAAGGAGAGCACTTAGCCACCCTGTACCAATCATGCGTGTGCTGCCTCCCCGCCCCACCCTGGCATCTCACATGGTTCTCTGCAAAGGGAGAGTCGAGCCTCAGAGCGGGGAGGCCGCCTGCCCAGGATCTGAACCCAGGCCACAAACCCTGGAGCTAATGTCCTTCTCCAGAGACCCTCCCTACCACACACCCCCAGCAGGGCTCCTGGCACCTACTTGCTCTGTCAGCGGTGCCTTAACCCCAGCACTAACCAGGAAATACAGAGGAAAACGGAGTGGGATGGTTTCTGAGCCTTGGTTTCCAGGCAGTCTGTGAAAGGGGCTCACAACTGCCTGGGCGGGGAGGGGTGACGGAAGGGGGCTGTTGTGAGGATGAACAAGGAGTGGGAGCACAAGGGTGTGGCACATTACAGGGAGGGCTCCCCAGGCCCTCTCCCTGAGCCATGTCCCTGTCCTCACCCCCATCTTCCCTTCCCTCTCCACTGCAGGAGGAAGCCAGGCGGCTGGGCTCCTAGCCCAGGGTGTCAGGCTCCTCAACAGCCCTCCCTGGGCCTCGCTTCCGCACCGACAAATTCCCTGTGGCGAGGCCAGCACACACACCATAGCCTATCCCAAGCCACCCCACTGCTCCGCCCAGGTTGCCCCCTGGTCTGGCAGCAGTGGGGCCAGGGCTGGGACTCAGTGCACCATGTGTGCGCCCAGCGTGGCGGGTGGGGGGGATCAGGTGGTCCCATGGGCCCTCAGCTCCCACCACATGCGTCAATCCGTAAAGCACTTCCCAGCTGCCTGCTCTGTTGTTGTTGTTCTAAAGTTACTTTGTACTTGGAAAAGTCAAGCTGTGCACCAGATGACCCTTCAGAAAGCCCAAAGTGTGTCCTCCAGCCCAAGGGCGTTGCCAGGTTAGTTGTGGAAGCTGCCTGTCTGCAGGCCCCGGCTACTCACCCACTTAGAGCCACTGCACTTGCCCTGCCTGGCCCTGCCACCACCTCAAGGATGTGCATGGCTGCCTTTTCCCTCCAGGTCCCTTTCCTCATCACGCCAGTGGGCCACAGACACCTGCCTCTCCCAGGACTTCTGGGGTTGGGAGGTGGGCGGAGGGTGGGCGATCACTGGGAGATCACTTTCCTTCCAAGCCTTCGCCAGAGGGTCTGTTGGGGGGAAATTCCTTTGGGTCCAATCCCTGATTTTGCCATTGTCTGGCTGTGTGATTTTGGGCAAGTTACCTCACCTCTCTGAGTCTCTCTGTCCCCTCATCTACAGAATGGTGAGAATGGTGGTGATGGGTAACTCGGTTGCTCATTCCACACTGGGCACAGCTTTAAACACTTTTAGAATATTAACTCATTCAAGTCTCATGGTAATCCTATGAGGTTTGTGCTCTTGTCCCCTCTCTACAGAGGAGTAAGGAAGGCACAGAAGGGCAGTTATCCTGCTCGCAAGGGAAGAGGAGGGGCTCAGAGCGGGCTGCGTTAAGCACTGCACCCTGCAGCCTCGCTTACAAACACAAGAGAATAGCGCTTGCTTCCGGGTGGCACTGAGCCTCTGGAGTTGGCCCAGGGCCTGCAGGAGGGTGTCCCCAGCCAGAGCTGGCTGAGCTAAATGAAATCAACTTAAGGGCAGGCTGCCCTGGAGGAGTTCCTGGCCCCGAACCCCAACCATTTGGCTGAAGAGCCAGGGAGGTGTCAAAAAAGTCACTTCAGATCTGCCTGGGAGTCCACTAGGCTGGGGTGGGAGGTGCCCTGCCAGGCCACCTTTATTGATGCCTGAGGCAGCCTAGCTCCTGCCCCTACCAGGGTCCTATTAAACTAGTCTCAGGCTTGGTCCCCCTGGGGGACAGAGCACTGCTATTTCCAAGGCTTGTCTGAGAGCCTCTCCCTAACCCCCACTGGAGAGCAGACCTATGATGCTGGGATGATGTACCCCCCTTTTCCCAGACCTCAGCCTGCTGACCAGCCAGGGGTGGCCCAAGGGTCCGTGGGGAGGAGGGCGGAGGACATTGGGGTTCAGACAGCACTACCAGGGGCCAGGTTATGAGCTGCCACCAGCATCACTCCCCCACACACCCCTGCTCCAGCACAGCCAGCTCAGGACTGGGATCCACCAGGAGGAGAATGAGGGGGAATGAGAGGCACTGGCTGACCCTCAAGGGGCTACCCTGCTCCCTGCCCGGGCTGTGCCACACACTGGGGACACCCTGATTACTCCATCAGGCTGAGGACAAGGTCCTGCCTCCCCACCAGCTTGCATCCCTCTCCCCAGCCCAGCGCAGGGCTAAAAGATGGCCCTCCTCCCACCCTCTGGCCTGCCAGGGCCCCTATCACACCCTGCTCAGCCTGCTCTCCCAACCCCACATTTTCCAGACCCCATTTCCAGTGACCTTAGCCCTATCGGGAGAGCCTCCTGCCCCCACACCCCCTTCATTCCTGTAAAATAGTAAAATGGGCACATTTATTGGGCAGCAACCCCATAAATCAGGCCTTGTGCTGTGTGGATTTTAATCTTTATTTCTTTAATCCTTAGGAGTAGGGATTCCTCATCTCAAGGTCCGATCAAGAGCCTTTTTGGTTCTCTGTGAACTGAAGCTCAAGTGGCGAAGTGTGTCACCACCGTCTCCAGACGTCACAGGCCGAGGTAGAGATGAGGGGTGTTAGGGACCTACAGCCAGGGCCAGGGTGGGGGTCCACTGTGTAATTAGGGCCTGGGGTCTTGACCCATTAGGTCAGTATTTTGGATAGCTGGTAATCTGGGAGCCTTCCCCTGCCTCCAGCAGAGGAAGCATCAAGGGAAAAGGTGGGAAAATACAGGAGCCCCCCATGGTAATGACCACAAGTCCCATAGGTTGGGGGCTGATGGAGGACAAATGCCTCAGCTGACTCACTTTCCCTCCCTCCCACATCTGTTCACCACTTAGGAACACACCCCGGCACTGAAGGGGTGGACGTGCCCCGCCCACCTGCCTGAGGGGTCTGAGTGTTCCCTTCAGAGCAGAACTGCGGATGGGATTTCAGGGTCTAGGGCTTCTCAAAGGCCAGGTGCGGGCCCACTTGAGACCCTGGACACAAAGTGTGCTCAGGGCCTGGGGTAGTTTGGGAGAGGCCAGTGGAGGCCGCAGCCCTACCCAGGACTCACCCTAGCCCCCACCCTTACAGCCTGCAGGTCAGGATGGGGGCCTTCTGCTCTCCCTCTAGGAACCTAGCCTCACCAGCACCTCGGTCTCAGTCTGGAGCCCCAGGTCCTGTGGACCTGGCCTGGTTACCTGCTCCACTCACAGTTTCCCCATCTGGGCCTCGCCTTCTTCTGACCCTGCGCACCAGGTTCAGCAGTCCCCAGAAGCCCCATTCCTGAGCTAATCCTCTTCCCCCAAAACCTGCCCCTGTGGAGCCATTGCTGAAGTGGGGTTGGAGCTGCTCAGGGCTCCCCCCCCCCCCTTACCACCACTCAGGGGCTCTGGGAAAGCAAGCCTAGCCCTGCTTCACTGAAGGGGCATGCAGATGGAAAACCACCTGCTCCCCCTCTGCCCTGCTACCCCGTGTTCCGGCCAGGGCTCCCCAGAGCTGGCCAGAGGCCTGGCTCCAGCCTATGCCTCCACCCCACTCTGGGTCCACCCACGTGGATGCCCTCAGCCCTGCCGGGTAAGGAAGGTGAAGTACGTCTCACTGCTGCAGAGGGAAGAAGCCCAAGCTTGGCCAAGATGGAAGCTTCTCAGTCTGGAATGGACTAACTGGCTGTGTCCCCAGGGGACCTAACCTGTCCTCCCTCTTTCCCCAGAACTGCCGGCCTCCACAGGGCCTGATCAGACCCATGAGTCCAGGGGGTCTTCCTGGGACTTAGGCCCTGTCCTCCACCCCACCCACAGAGAGGCCCAATACTAGACACCAGTGGGGAGAGCGGAGGAGCTGCTGGGAGGGAGCGAGGCCCCTAGGGCCAGCCCAGTCAGGAACAGGCCCCCACTCCCCAGCGCTCCCTGGTGACTGCCCCATGGCCCCATGTGGGGGAAAAGGAGAAGCACTGAGGGCGGCAGGGCAGGAGGCAGGCAGGTGGGGAGCCACTCAGAAGGGCGCAAGGTCAGGGCACCTCAGGCGGCAGCAGAGGCGTGTCTGAGTTCTGTGCTGAGACGTCGCTCAGCTCAGGCCCGATGAAGCCCAGATTGTACAAGTTGAGGATGGAGTCGGCAATGATGCGGGCCGTGCGCTTCTGGTACCCACCCGAGGTCACCATGAGGATGGGTACCTGTTGGCCACGGACCATCCGGAACACCAGTTCATCCCGCTTCACGATGCCCTGTAAAGGGAAGGACAAGGCTGACTCAGGAGGGGCGCAGGTGGTCAGGGCAGTGCTGGACGTCCTGTTCCGTGACGGGTCTAGCCCCTCCCCTGACTGCCCTGCTGCCCATCCCTCTGACAGCTGGAGACGCTCCGGGGCTGCCCACCCTTCCCGCTGCTGCACAAGCCCCAGAGCAGACCCCCCTCCAGGGGCACAACCTACCTGTGGGCTGATGGACAGCCCCCCAAGACGGTCACCCTCGAGGATGTCGGTGCCCGCGTTATATACCAGCACGTCGGGCGGGTGTTCCCGGAGGGCTCTCTCGAGGTTCCGCTCCACTTTAATCAGGTACTCATCATCCTCTGTACCCCATTCCAGCTCCACCTTCCGCCTGATGGCCTCTGAGAGGGAGCAAATAGCTCGTCAGCAGACAAGGGGAACTGAGGCTCAGAGGGCCAAGATTGCCCGGGTCCCTGTCAGTGCCCACAGCGGGATGGAAGACCATCTGACTCCACTCTCATTTCACCCAAAACCATGCTAAAAAGAGGAGACCCCAGGAAGAAAAGCGGGTGGCAGATGAAGCTCTGCCCCAGCGGGCTAGAGCCCCCCTAGCCCAGCTGCTCTCACAGACTCCGTGAGTCCGGGCACGTGGACAAGCCGCTGTGCCTCGTGCCCAAATCCAGCATGTTCCGGTCCAGAAGCACGAGCTGCGGGCCACGCCAAGGGCTGAGCTCCAGGACAGACGCCAGAGGCTTCCTGCATACACGCTCCCCCCGCAAAGGAGCCAGGTCTCTGCGTTTTCACAGCTCACCTGAGAGCCTCTGTCTTATGGCTGGTAAGTTTGACCCACTCGTGTTTATTTTATTGCTACTGTATTTGAAGACATTTCTGCCATCTTATTTTGCATTTTCTATTTCTAATTTTCTTGTTTCTCTTTTGCTCGTTCTTGTTCTCTACTAGACAGATGTAAACCTAGGAGGAAAGTCTGATTTTCTTCTTCTGGTGGCTACCCCTGACCTAGGGACCTAACCATGTGATCTTGGGGGGTTAAATGACTTCTCCAGGTCTCGACGTTCTTATCTGTAAAACGGGAACAATCCCTGCCTTGCAGGGACACTGAGGACTCATAAGTGACTTCTGCAGGGTCCAGGGTGTAGGAGATACTCAGGAGAGAACCCCGCCACGCAAGAACGCAGCTAAGACTGCAGACCAGGGGCAGCTTACGCTTGGCGAAGCCGTCCCCAGGGTAGATGTGGCGGTTGTAGACGTCCAGGATGTACACGCGGCTGTCGCCCATGAAGTCCCGCTCGTGCCCGTTGCCCTGTGGGAGGACATGGGAGCCTCTGGAAAGCAAGTGCCAGGACACCCCACCGCACCCCAGGAAAAGCCCCACGTGCCTGGGGAAGCACATTCACCCCTGGAGCAGGGGTTCCTGGGCAGCTAGGTGGCAGAGCTGTGATCCAAGCTCACGGCCCTGCCATGACCTTCCAGCACGACCTAGACTCTCCTCCCACCCCGCACCCAGCTCCTTTTCTGGGTCCAGGGTCCTGCCACCCCAGATCCCAGTAGTGGGATTGACCGTTGGGGTCAGGGATATGAGGTAAACTGTAAAGGGCTGTGCACACGGGACTTGGTACAGAAGCTCAGTTCATGTGAACTCGGAGCAGGGCCAAGCAGCTCACAGCCACAGAGTGGAGCCCATTTGATGCCCTGCCCTTCTCTGGAGTCCAGAGGCCCAGCCTGGGGATGGGATGTCTCTGGGGGAAGGGAGTCGCCAAGGGTGGGAGCAGGCCAGAGCCTGGCCCCAGGGCACTCACCTGGTGAGCATCAAGATCCACGATGGTGGCTCTGGAGATGCCCTCCACGCGCTCAAACAGAAACTGCCCGGGATGAGAGGGGAGACATTAGGACCTACCCTGGGCCACTACTGGGGGGAATGGGAGGCTGCATGTGCTCATGGGTCACCAGGCCACGGCAGAGATGCCACGTGCCAGGAGCGCTGTGCAGACCCAGAGAGCAGGGTGCCGGCGGGGCAGGCTCTCGCCGGAGGGGAATGGGCCGTGCTGCAGAAGGCCAGCCAGAGGCCAGGAGGTGAGCGGGTGCTTAGCAACAGCCCAGGACTTCTGGGGAAATATATGGGAGGCTGAGAGGGAGGACTCGCCCCTCAACACTGCCTGGAGTCTCATTCTCCAGTCTCTGTCCCATTCTACCCTCTCCTTCCCCTCCCTTGCTTGCCTCCCCCCAGTAGTCAGTGTGCCCTGAGAGAGCAGGAACCACGTGTGTTCCCAAAGCCCAGCACATTGCCAAGTGCAGTGGGGAGGGGGGGCTCCGGGGTCCCACAGACACGGGGCCAAGCTCTGCCTCTTCGGCTGACCTCCCCTCTCTGGGTCTCAGTTTCCTCATCTGTAGTACAGAAAAATTAAGTGGGGTGAGCCGTGGGGAGCAGCGGCTGGCACGGAGTCTGGCCAGCAGGTACTGTCCTCACCGTCACTGCTATGAGATGGTGACTATTTCTGTCTCCTCACTCTGAGAGAAACGCCCTTCTCAAATTTTAATGCTGTTGATTGGTAAACGCTGCTCCCCGCCCACCCCACCCCTGCACTCAGCCTGATCCTGGTTCTTCCTTCCGGCACAGGCATCAGAGGAGGAAGTGTCAGCCTGGGTTTCAGTTCCAGCCTAGCTGAGCACCCAGCAGCAAGCTACCCCCACCCCCAGCCTCAGTTCCCTTCTCGATAATGTGGGGTAAGAAGACCAAATATGGGGCTACAAGAGGGTTCCAGGAGGACCCCGGAGGCAACTCCTGCATGTGCTCAGGAACCTTGATGGCCAGCGTGATGTCCGCGTAGGCACAGAAGCCCCCGCCCCGGTCGCTGGAGCAGTGGTGGAAGCCGCCCCCTGCGGAAGGGCAGACATAGTGGGGTCAGCACTTGACCCGAGCACGCCCCTCCCCTCCGTCCCCGCCAGCACTGCCCCCACTCAGCTCCCAGGAAAAGCTCCTCAGATTGGCCAAGTGATTGGCATGTCACCATCCTGGCCCAGAGCAAGAAACCCCTGGGTGTGGACACATCAGCCTTAAGCCCCTCACGTGCCCCAGGGCAGGGCTCATACTTCCCCCAAGAAAGCTGCCCCTTGGCCCCTGGAACTGGGCCTGCTCCCGCGTGGCTCCTGGAGGCAGGAAGGGGTAGGGGCACGGGGACCACCCAGATTCTGGGGGTGCGAGAGGGAGATGATGAGAAAGGACACCCTCTCCATCCACACGGTGGACTGCTATTCAGTCACAAGGAAAGAGGAGATGCTGCCACGGCAGGAAAGGGGAAAGAGCTAGAGGGAGTTGCGGGAGGAAAGCAAGTCAGACTGACAAAGACAAACACAGCAGATGGACCAACAAAGCAAAATACATATAAAATCAAACACCAATGAATGAAGTTTCCGAGGTGGGGAAGGAGAAAGAGTCAAGGGATGGTGCTCGCGAAAAAGAAGAAATAAAGTAAAAATTTTTAAAATAGATTAAAATTTCTACACTAATCACTATTTTAAAAAGCTAAAATGGTGGTCAAAATGTAGTAAGGGGGACTACTCTGGAATTCTAGAAGGAGAAGGAAAGGAAAGAGAAGGGAAGAAGGAAGGGAAGAAGCAGAAGAGAGGGAGGAAGGGGGGTGGGCGGGAAGGAAAGGAGGGCGGGGGGGGGGGGGGGGGGGAGGGAGGACACCCTTTGCTTGCCAAGCGGGGTGGCTCACTCTCAGGACCAAGCCCTTATGGTCACCTCCAGAAGATTCAAGGAGCCCCAGGGTGAACACCCCCACCCTCTCCAGTTTCCCCTGCTCCTCCTTCCCCCCAGGCTCCCAGCGCCACCAGGCCACACCAGCCTGGCCACTCACCCACGTTGATGGCCCAGCCGCGTTCTATGGCCAGCTTCCCTGCCTTGGGAGACAAGCCCAGCGTGAGGGGAGCAGGCAGTGGTCCCCTCACTCATTCACAAACTCACCCACTCCTTCCATAAACAGTTTCCGGCCAGCTCCGAGGTGGGATGAGCTCTGAGGTGGGGTAGCAGGTACTCCACCCCCCACCCCAAGCAAACTCAGTCAGCCTTGGAAGCAAGTCCCAGACCCGCTGGCTCAGCAGATGTGCAGCAGAAGCCCCTTTGCAAGTGTGCAAGGAAACTGGACGACATAAAAGTTACTCATAATCCCATACGCCCTGAAGATTTTAATGGGGCTTTCAAAGGAAAGAATGTTTTGCTCATGGAAATAGGGTAGACTGGATACTGAGATCCTGTAAGAAATCATAGTTTTGGGGTGGGCAGTTGTATTCTAATACAAACGTATACATTTGCAGTTCAAAAGAAAACTACAGAATCAATAGGTATTGACCCAAGAGGTAGAACTGCGCTAACTCCAATCCACTCAGCTACCTGTGGCAGATTTTAAAGAAAATCACACCCAGGATGGGAAGCCTTATGTTGCTGGTTCTTTACTGTCGCACCATGTTGGGGGGAGGAGGACGTGACCCCTCCCTGAAGCCACAGGGTCTGGTTCCATCTTTAACATGCACGGGGGCCAGAGCGTGGCATGTTGTCTTTGGGGGAAGTCTTACATTCCAGCAAATATGGTAACTTTAATAGGCGTCGTAGGGGAAGGAACTAGGAATTCTAATGTCATGGGATGGGAAAGCATTTGGGAGAAAGGGCCATTGTTGCTGGGCCTTGTGGAATATTTAGAATTTTGTTCCACTTCAAAGCGGGGAGAGGCATTCCAGAGGCAGAGCCCAGGGTGAGCCAAGGCCCAGGGTAGCAAGGAGCCGGATGCAGGGTCCCCAGCCTGCCTGCCTCCCACCTCCACCTCCCCACCTACCATGATGGTGCCTCCTGTCTGGGTCCGAAGGGGCCTCAGCACCTTCCTCTGCACCAGGAAGTTGGGGAGGAAGATGACAGGGGGGATTTCCGTGATGGTCGCCACAACAAAGGACCACTGCAAAAGAGACAGGTGTGGGAGCCTGGAGCCCAGAGGCAGCCCCAGGTAGGAAAGCGCTAAGGCCCTGAGCAAACTCCAAGTGCCCTGCGTGAACGCCAAAGTCAAGGGCAGCTGCTCTGGTTAGAGATGAGAGCTCCATCCCTTCAGGCCCCCACCAGGCTTTGGGCTCCCTCAAGAGCCCCAATTAAGTCAGCCCCGAGTCCACGCTCCAAAGCCCTTGGCTGCCCTCTTGTGCCCGGAACAAGATCTGCAAGGGCCACCGTGGTGCAGACAGAGCTGACCCAGCACCCCCCACTGTACAGAAGAGGGCAGGAGCTGGGGGCTCTTTCTTTCCAAGGTCACACAGTGAATAAGACAGAGTCAGCACCCGAAACCCGCACAGCAGGGCCTCCTCTGGAAGAGGGTGAAGACCTCCCCTCAAAGGGAGCGTATGGGAAAAGGGCTTCTGTCGTGAGTGGCACCCGAGGACAGTACATTTGCCCTGCATGCGGAATCGTCATCAAGAAATTTTGGAAGCATAACACTTGTAATATTTGGGCAGCTTGTGATCATTGGTCCCGAAAAGGAAAAAACAGGGCATGGGTCTGGTCATGGGTCTCCAGCTGAGGCAGGGCATCCTGGGAATGGCCTTCCCTGTGCCCTCCCCGGCCCCAGGCAAACATCCATGCACCAGATCCTGAACCATCGCTTGCCTGGCTGTGAAAGTCCCTGGGCCCCTGCTCCCCACAGTCAGGGGAGGGGTGCAAGTGAGTCACTTGCTTTGTAACATTTGCTGGTGCCTACTAGGTGCCAGGCCGCCCGGGTGCAGGCGCGGCTGGGGAGACGCCTCACATCAGGATTTGGGCCTCTGAAGCTAGAGGGGAGGGTTATGTCTCACACGCAGTGATGGCACGGGCCAGAGAGGCTTTCTGGAAGTGTTGACATTGATGCTCAGACAGAAGGTAAACGGGAGTTATCCAGACGGGGCGCAAACTCAAGGTGAAAAGGTGACTGCGAGCAGGAAGTGAGTCCATGTGCAAGAGAATCTGGGCACTTACATGCCATGTTCAATTAAGTCACATTTCTAAAAATTAGAAAATTCTTCTTCATAGTAATTGTTTTTCAAGTGCTCACTAGACATGTGTTTGGTGGCTGCTGGATTAGAAGAACCTTTCTAGAACGTTCCCATCATTGCAGTGCTGTGGCCAGGTGAAAAATAACCAGAGGAGTGGGACAAACTGGCAGCTGGGGCCAGGACGGGATCACCTGCCTCCCCAGAGTCAGGCTAGCCCAACCCCAGACTTGGCTCCTCAGTGTGTCTGGGCATGGCCCTTCACCTCACCCTCTTGTCTCCTCTGTGAAATAGGGGAACTTCTCCCGGGGCCTGGACAGAGGACCTAGATTCATGGGAGAGGCCTGTCCTCACTGCCCCATCTGGAGGATGGCCACCTGCACCCTAGACCTGTTTCTGCTTCATCTTTCTGGAAGCACTTGTCTCCACCTGAGCTTACCATGCACCTCTGTTGTTATCTGTCTCCCTGCCACAGGTGTTCCTGTTCTCTGCTGCACAGACCACACTGGGAAGGACACCCCCACAAAGTAGGTGCTGGTAGCACATGCTGCCCCTTCTCCCCCAGGCCCCAACCTGCACCTTCTCCCAAGAAGGCTAGCTCCCCTGCCCCACCCCTCCCAGGAGTCATGGCAGTGCTTGGCTGATGAGGGGCTGAATCAGCCTGGCCTCCTGCTCCCAAGACAGTACACAGCATGCTTCAGTCTCAGGGCAAAGCTCGCCTCCTCTGGGACGTGTCTGAAAAAGCACACCTCCGCCCAGTTACCACCACTGTTTTTCCTTCCTGGCCCTTGGCAGTCTCTGAAATGCTCTTGTGTAGTTATTTATTTTTGGTCCTCCACAACTAAAATGTAAATGCATGGAAAGAGGGCACCCTGCCATACTGTTCATCTTTTTGACCCAGCACACAGTATCCAAGACACAGTGTTGAATGACTGAATGCTTCTTCACCTTGATAGTCACTAGGAAATCATCTGGTTTCTCCTTTTGCTATACCTGCCAGGGAGCGCCCAGTCAAATATACAGTTGACCTCAATTTTCTATTTTGGATTCTCCCTGATAAGATTTTTTTTATTACTTATGACATAGTGAGTGGTGTTCAGCCTTTTGGGGTCTCAAAGCCAGGCACACAGCTTCCTTGCAAGGTTCCCCTGAAAGTCCCCCAAATGGGTGGGGCCTTGGAGTCGATCTACCACCATCCCAGCCTTATCTCGGTACACTCACTCCACTCTGCTCTGGTCCCTCCCCATGCCCGCCCTCTGTACTCTGGTAGGCAGCTCCTCCCAGCCTAGCCTCTGGGCTGTGGGTTGTAACCACGCATGTCCATGCCCAGGAAACCAGGGCAGCCAAGCACTGGGCTTCCTGCCAAGGTCTCGCACACCTTTTTCTCCCAGGAGAGCCAGGAGCCAGGTATCAACCTCTTCCTGGTAATTTTTCATGAGCTCACACTGTCACAGCTCCATCTAGACTTCTCGCAGCTCAGGCTGGAGCGGGGGAGGAGAGAGGGCTGCAGCTGTGGCCAGGAACTGGAAAACTACATTGGATTCCCTGCCTGGGGTCTCCTGAAGGCCTGCTATTATGTCCTGGGTAACCTTGAGCAGGTGCAACCTCTTTCTGGGCTCATCTGTAGAGGGGAGGAACCTGGTGGCCTCTGGCATCCATTATGGCACTGAGTCTAAGACGAGGCTAGCGATGAAGCCTAGGGGCCTGGGCTCCCACACTTTGGGGACTGAAAGCCTGTGGCATTCCTCACTCCGTGCTCCCAGGGCAGGCTGGCAGCATCCAATTCTGAGGAAATCATCTCTCCCAGCACCCCTCCTGCCCCATGCAGAGGCTGAACTACCTCCTCAGATTGTGGGGCCTTCCAGAGTTCCCATGGGGGTAGCCTGTAGGCATAGTCTAGTCTGCAGGTGAGATTTAAAAATCTGAAAACGAGTTGCCACATTAACGATTCAGGTCATAATCTGCCTTTCTGGATTCTCTTGCAAAGCCGGGAGCCCTGGCCATGCCGGACCCGCCGTGGACCTGAGTGGCAGTCGCCCACAGGGGAAAAGACAGGGCTCGCCAGTTCACCCAGTACATAGCCCCCACCCTAGCCACTATTTACCTTCCTGGCTAGGCCCAGGGGTGGAGAGTATTCAAACTAATGTAGAGCCCAATAGTTTTCAACAAGTCTTTAGAAGTATGAAGTATGTGGAACAGAATGTTTAACCTCAGCCTAATATATAGTACAAAGTGGAACGGCTTTAGTTAGCTGGAGACAAGGGGCTGACCCCAGCCCATCCCAGAGCCCAGGCATGAAATGCAGACTGAAAGTTGCTAATGTCAAAGTGCAAAACCCTGTTAAAAGGTTCATTTTCTACCAAGGGTTCACCTCTGCTTTCAGGTGAACAGGGAGTTCACCAACCCCAGCAGCAGCCTAGCCCATCCTTAGTGTCTGCCTATTTTATGTCACCTCTGTCTTTCTCTTAGGGACCATGGTCTCATATGCTATCTCTGTACAAGGACAGGCGTGGCCTCTTGAGGCTGTGCGTCCCCAAGCTGAGCTTTCCCTCCTCCTAGCCAGCAGCCCCTCTGGCCCAAAGCAGCTCCCCACCCTCAGCCCTGTACCTTGAGCTCATTGAGATAGCGTCTTGTATGCACCACCAGCAGGTCCTCCTCTGAGGCTTCCTGGGCCTCCACCAGCATGTTGTCCGATAGAAGTTTCTCTTCTGAAACCACAAAGTAAGGTGCCCTGATTCCTTGCTGACCTAGAGGTCAAGCCCAACCCCAGACCCTTCTGCTGGCGGCCAACTTGGCCTCTGTCGGGCCTGCCCAGGAGAAGGTGGGCATGGCTGTGGGCGATCTGAGTATGGGCCATCCTGAGCCAGTGTGGACCACGGCCAGGTCTTCAGGCCAGGGGGCACCAAAGACTATGTTTCCTGATCCACTGACAGGACCAAGTGAGTGCAAGTGTGACTGGACAACCTTCAGAGGCAGATGGCACATGGGTCAGTAATGTGGTAACTCGAAGTATAAGAAAACTAATCTCATCAGTTCTCCCTCTAGCTTCCCCTGACATCAGTGGGGCGGGGGGTGCCCAACCCTTGCTCATCTTCCATTTTAACCAAAAGAAGACAGGGTCAGCCTCACAGCCTGTAGGCAGCAGTCAGCAGCCTGAATTGAATTACACTGTTGTTTTCATTGCATTTATTTTTTTACCATGACCTTCTATTTATGGCAAGTGAAACTGGCTTTTTCCATTCAGATGACATAATGATTCTTTTTTTAAAACAAGTGTATTTAAGATTATTAAAACAGAGGCTAAATCCATACAAAATATGAAGTAAATAATGGAACAGGTGGTATGAGGAGATGGCAAGGCCCCAAGAGTGCTTTGCAAAGGACTGATGTTTGGGAAACAGTACATTATTTCATCACCCCTCACAGAGTCCAGACACGATTCACTCCAAATTGCGGAAGAAGAAACAGGCTGAGAGCAGGAGGTGCTCTAAGGCACAGTGAGGGCAGGACCACAGTGCTCTGGGTTCTTGGGAAATCAAAGCAGCAAGGTCAGAATCTAAGGGCTCTGTTTTAATGTGTCACCCTTCGGAACCTTGGTAGAAACCAGTGAATGCCATACATATAGTCCCATATATAGCAGGCATGTCCCCCACCCCTGAACATCCTATGGCTCCCCTGTGCTTTAAGGCAAAGGCCAGCTCTTGGAGAAACCCAAGACACTCCACCATGTGGCTCCTGCCACTTTCTAGACACCCTCAGAGGAGGGTAGAAGGAATTCAGGAGTTGGATCAGAGAAGAGGGAGACAAGAAACCCTTCTGTTGAGCCACTGGGTGACACAGGAGCCCATGAAGGGGCAGTGTGTCTGGTGGGGGGTAGGGGAGGTGTCTTGGGCTGGGTCTGCAGGAAACAGCATAAATGACCATATTCAAGAAGGCAAGAGAACTGCAAGGTGAGAGGCGGGCTAGCTCCGCTCACCTGGCCAGGTTGTCACCATCACTGCACACCACTTGTCTGCTTTTCTACTTTATCCTTCTCTGTGAATACTCCCTCTGGTCCCTACTGCAAAGAGAAAATCAGTATCACTTGCCATAAATAGAAGTTAACCAAAAAGTACAAATACAAATAGAAAGAAATAGTGTTATTAACCTCTAATTTGGTCCTGTTTTCTTCAAGGGGCAGAGCCTACAGCTTGCTATGTTAATGGACTTAGCTCGCCTCCAGTGGAACTTTCTCCATAGTGTCATCAGGATTGTTTGACGCTTCATCTCATATAGGTAATACTTTGGGGAACATTTCCTATGCCCGCCATTAAACAGCCCTGATATAGGGAATGAGGATAAATTCACACTAGCCTATAGCCATTCTTGAGTTTCCCACCTATACCACGTCCCTGGATTACAAACCAGAGTTGAAATCATGGCAGAAGGGCACCCCCTTCTTGGGGAGTAGGAGCCTTAAGCTTGAAGTTCTAGACCCTTTAGTAGCTAAAGCCACTTAAAAGCTGTGTGGCCTTGAGCGTGTTTCCTAACTTTTCTGGGTCCTCATTACTCAATTTGTCATCAAGGAGGTAGAGAAAAAATTCTCTACCTCTTATGGAGTATGGACAATGGATTCTCCAAGCTTCAGCTTCCCTGTGTCCATCAATACTCAGCTTCCCTTCAACTGGGCCTCCAGGGGCAGAGGCAGGATTTAGACCCATGGCAATGGAGAGCCAGTGAATGTTTGAAATAGGGACAAATGCTGTTTAGAAGTCTGTGCCAGAAAGATCCTTGTAACAGCATGGTGGGAGGTAGTCTGAGGGCTGAAACTGGAGGTGGGAGAGTCTTAAGCTTGCATTAGGCAGACAGCAGAGAGGAGCTTGGGGAATAACAGGTGGTTTTGAAGAAGCAGATACAGGGTCTGATAAAGGGACCTTCCATACCTTTTAGGAAGCCGATCACTTTGCCCCATTTTCCTGCATCAAAGGGGTGCAGCTTCTCCAGGCCCATGAAGGTTATATTGTAACGTGGTGAGTACACAATGGGCCAGCGGGACTCCGGCACATGCTGGTACAGCTGGGTTGCGTGTGGCCTTCCATGTGCAGAGAGACAGACACACAAATAGGGACAGCTTCAGCGCAGAAAGCTGCCTCTTCCCCTCCACCAGTCAGCTGTGATGGATCAGACAATCCTGACCCAGTACCACTACCTCCCTACCCACAGACAAGGGATCACTTAGCAACTACTGACACAGTAATGAAAGTGTCTCCCCACTGAGCACTGACTGTCCTTGCACTGTCCCACTCTGTTCTCACAGCAGCCCAGGAGGTAGGCACCTCTATGCCACCAGAGGCTTGGAGAGGGCCCAAGGTCATACAGCGGGTCTGTGGAGCAGCCCCTGTGCACCCAGGTGCCTGGCTGCAAGGCCTCAGCACCTCACCTCCACATTATAACAATCACAGGGAATAGCTGTGCAGCTCCAGGCCCCAAGTTTCCTGAACTATACAGAATGTGGTTGTAGAGGACTGAGATAATGCAACTAAACAGCTGAGCACAGAAAGTGCTCTCTATGTGAGAGCTGCCGGGTGGGGGTGACAGTTTCCAGAAACAGAAGATCTGGGCTCACATAGGCTGTGGCTCAATCCGGAGCCAGAGATAGGGGTGACCTCAGGACCCATGAGCAGCTGACACCCGCCCAATCACATCTCCCAACCGCAGCACGGGAGCCAGAAACCCCAGCTATAGCCGGGCCACTGCGGGGGCCTCCGCACCGCTGGCGGGGCCCGGGGTAGAGCAGACGTCAGACCCGCGCCGGTCGCCGGCCCCCGCCCAGGTCGGGGCTCCGCGCCCGGCTTCGGCCCCTGGGGCCTCTGAGAAGCGGCGCGGGATTGGCCTGAGAGCACCCAGCCCGCCCGCCCGCCCGCCCGCCCGCCATACCTGGGCCCGCACCTGACGGCCCACCCGGCTACCCGCGCACTCGCGCCCGCGCCCACTGGGACCCCTGGGAGCCCCGGGGGAATCGGCCCCGCGTCTCGCCCGCGCCCTCACCCCCGCCGCACTCACATCGCGGGGCCGGGCCCTGCTGGCGCTGGGCACCGCTTCGCGACCAGAGGGGCGGGGCGGGGCGGGGCACCGCCCCGCCCAGGACACGCCCCCAACCGCGGCTGCCTACGCTGGAGGCCGAGCTCCGGCAGGCTCGGCCCCGCCCCGCCTGTTTCCGCGCCTGCGTCATAGGGGGCTGGAGCGCCTGGCTCGGAAGGCCACGCCCCCGGGAGGGCCACGCCCCCTGGGGGAGGGCCGCGCGGGGGTTCGCGATAGCGTCACGGCGGGTAGGAGCGGGCGGCGCCCCGCCCCGGGGTAGGGGACGTTCCCCCGCGCCCGGCGCTCTGCGCTCTCCAAGGTGGGGAGAGGGTGGGAGTCCGGGTCCCCTGGCTCTGCGCGGCTCGCGGTGTGACCTGCAGCGTGCAGCTGTGTTTCTGTGGGCGGGTGTTGCCACGAGTAAAACGGGGGGCGGCGCTCTGCCAACTCCGACTTAGTGGGGTCCGTGACCTCTGATTCCGAGCCCCCAGCGCGCCCACCGGGGTGACACCCATCCCATCCCGCCCCGTCTGTTTTTACTCTAACGGGAAACAAGCTCTCCCCACACAGGCCACGGACGCGCTGTGTCAGTTTCTTCATCGCTATGATCGGGCGCCTCCAGGGCGCAGGCGGGTGGCTGTGCGCTGTCGCTGTCCTCACCCCCACTCCTCCCCGGAAACCCAAGACAAACCAAAGCAACAGCTGAGCATGCCTTGGGCCTGGGTGCTGAGAGGAGCTTCAACAATAGAATGCCAGAGGGCAGACAATGGCCTCTCTGTCGGTGCAGCTGTCCCCGCCAAACAAGCAGCTGACCCAGCGTAGCCAGGAGTGGGGCAGCTGGCATCTCCGCGGCTCCTGGAGGGCGCGGTGAAGGGGAAGAGCACACATTCAAGCAGGGCCCTCCAGGGTTTGTTCATTTGTGTCCTGTGTGACTGAGGAGGGAGGTGGTCTGAGGAACCCCAGGGGCTTGGGAACACCTTCAGACCACACCAGACTGGACCCCTATGCACACCCTCACCTGTGGGAGAAATGTTCTTCATACTGAGGGTGTGTGTTGTGTGTCGGGGGTGGGGGGAATCTCTGTTACAGCATCTGGGCCTGTCTGCTCACTAAGACTATGCACAGGGGCCTCTGAATGAAGACAGCAGGCAAGATCTGGAAGCCTTTGTCGAGCTCACAGTTTAGTGGGAAAACTAAACCTTCAACTAGGAAACAATCTTAACTACAAAATGTGGCAAATGATGCAAAAGGCACAGCCTGAGGTGGCGGGAGAGAATGATGTTTAGATGCTGCTCAGGAAGGCCCCTACAAAGAGGTGAGTGTTGGTCACTTTTTGACCAACGAATATCTTTAAAATGTCATTGTGATCGGACAAAATGCTGACTCGTTGAACATGTTTACTTACTGTTTTCCCCCTCATTCAATCTTAGAATATATTTCTCAAAATCAATGAATAAGAACCTCCCCAGCCCATGACATCATACTTCTGTGGAAAAGTACAGACAAAGGGCAATATTAACTGTAGGAGCCCGCCAAACATGAATGATAATTGACACACACCTAATATTTCAATATTAGTAAGTAGTAGTTGAATGGACACCTCCTGTTAAAACCACTATTAAAACCTTTAAGGTCCAGGAAAGCCCTCTGTGCCCATTGGTGCCTCCCATTGCTGAATCCAACCGGGAGCCAAAGACCAAGGAAGCCCAGATGACTATAGCTACAGGTGACAGCATCCTTCCAAGGGTGGCCACAGAGCAGGGTGGAAAACTGGTGAGAGAATTTGGGGGGCGGCAGTAAACACAATAACCCCTGGTGTTCTAGGTGACCTTGAATTTTCTCCAACCCTCTTAGAGATAACTGTAATAGGGGTGGGTTGGGCTTGAAAACTGACCCTATCCCCAGTACTTCTTGCAAAGGTCTTCTTAAGCACTCACAGGACGTGTCATCTTGGAAACCCGATACTCAGCTGAGGCTACCTCCACCTACCATCCATCCCCCAAATCAAACTGCTGGGCCAACCTGGGAATCAAAGGACAGAAATCACGACATCAGTTCAAATCCCTGGTCCAAGAGTCAGAACCCCCAGCCTCGGCCTCAACCAGGCAAATACAGCAGGGACCTTGAGAGCAGTGGGGAGGTTTGAGTGCCTTGGGTGGGGTGAAGTCACCACACCCATCTCTGCTCCAGCAGCAGGAGCAGTAGCTTCCTGCACCAGGAGGACTGGCCCTGAGGGAATTCCACAGCCCTGGGAACTCACTGGCCCACAGCACTGCCTGCCCCATCACTCAAAGGCACACAGGGCCAACAACAAACACAACACAAGAGTACTGTGTGGAGGGAGACACAAACAGCAACAGCTGCAGTGCACATACGCCATTACACACGCACAGATGCACAGACAGGGACAGACACACTGCCACACATGTACCACTGCACCCAAGCTATTTCTGCCACCCCTGATGAGTTTCCTCCAGTCTCGGCTGATAGTCCCGGGAGGAAGGTGGGGTGCCCCAAAGTACACTCTTGTGGGTCCCTGGAGCATACTGGGATAGCACCTCCAGTGCTGATGCTTCTGCCCCGGGAGGGAAGTTCCTGGGACACAAATATTGAAGGAAGAAAGAAAAGAAGGCAGAGAAGTGGGGGTGGAGGGAGGAGCACAGACACGATAAGCATGTGACATGAGACCAATATGTCAGGGGCAGATTCAGGTTTTGCTGATGGGGGGGGGCTGTTTTCCAGAAAAAGACTAAAAATGTGATTACAACTTAGCAACAGAGCCTGGGAAGGGGCCCTGGAGCTTAATAACAATATGCCACTTATGTCTGTGCATGGCGTACAGATGGGTCAGCCCACAGACTACGTGGGGGCACAGCCACAAGCACCCCAACCTCCAGACATGCACACACATGTGCACACATGCACAGGCCAGCCCAGACCTCGGCTGCTGTCAGGAGCTGGGCCTGTCTAGGCGACTGTCTTCTGAGGCCCCTGCAGCCCTCACTGAGAATTTGGTTCCACTTCCATACTGACTGCTTCCACACCACACGGCATCTTCCCAGATCCACCCCCATGTGTGCCCTGTTTCTGGGGAGCAGAATCTGCTCTTGCCGCCTCACCTGGGCCCCTGACCTCACCCACCGCCCGCATGAGCTCACTTCACTCCAGATGGGCAGGAGGAGGACTGGGAGCTGGCGCTGGAGAGAGGGTCGGCCAACACCCTGGGAAGGCCCAGCTTCTGACTGTTAGAGCCACCCCCAGGGTACCCGCCAGGGCTGGCCTGTCTTCTTTCCCTGCACATGGGAAACTGAGGTCCAGAGAGAGAGCATGGGCTCCAAGCTCTTCCCAGGGAACCATCACACACACACACACACACACACACACACACACACACCCATCACATTTTTCTGGAATGCAAGAGATTTTGAAAGGTTGTCTTTCTCAGTACAGAAAAATAAAGAAATTGTAAGTGGCTTGTGGTGGGTGCCAACCACCCAGATAATCCCAGTGGCATTTTTAAAATGAAGTTAATGCATGCACACGTTAAGAAAATTCAAACAGTTCCAAAAGATTGTAAATGAAATGAAAACCTTTTCTATCATAGTCCTGTCCCTAAAGACGGTTACTCTTGACATTTTCTTTCCAAATTCTTTGGCATACCACATTTTTACTGATAAAAAGAGAATTATGCACAGCCCACAAACTTGTCCCTTGCCAGTTTTCTCACCAAAAACATGTCCCTGCGGATCTTTCCACATCAGCGCAGACTAAACTACCTTCTTTTTTCATGACTATGCTTTATTCCTCCACAGGGCTCTGTCAATGTGATTTTAGTGCCAGTTTCTTTGCTCTTACAACCAGAGATCTTCGGTGCATCTGAATGAGTCATAGAGTCAGTTAGAAACAGAAGCCCTGGGTCAAAGGGTATGTATGTTTTAAATTCTGGCTTAAGGACTGAAACAGCAAACATTCCTAATTTTTTGTGAGTCTTAGGTCAGTTGGGTGGTTCTGCTCATCGAGCCTGGCTGATCTTGGCTGCACTCAGCTAGACTCCCCAGGCCAGGACGACTCAGGCTTCCGAGTCTGTCTGCCATGAACTCTCTAAGTTTTTGTCTTACATCTTTCCAAAAGCCAGCCCAGGTACGTCCTCATGGCGGTGGCAAGAGGCCAAGTTAAAATGAGCAAGGGTTTTTGCAAGCTTCTGCTTGTATGAAGTCTCCCTCCGTTCCATTTGCCTAAGTCAGTCCAGCCAGCTTGAGACAACACTACCAAAGGCCGTGAATATTGGGGAGCAAGAAAAATCGGGACCATTATTTTAGTGTACGTCAAGCTTCACCCTCAGCAGATGGGAATGTGTTCTCCACAGCAACCAGCAAGGGCCACTCCCAGGCCCAGATGGCACAAGGTGACATCTCAGTGGAGGCTGCCGACCTGGCCCCAACAAATGACTTGGCACGACATTTAATTCCCCTGGAAAGTGGGTGCACCCTGGGGATAGGAAGAGGAGAATCATCAAATTGCTACCCTAGAGGATTGGGGTCTGAACACAGAAATTAAGTTGGAAGGTGACAAAGAAAGTTACCATTCTTGCACTCCTGAGTTAATAGGCTAGAATTTGAATCCACTGCAAATGGGAGAATCATTCGTCTCCAGTGGAAGGGGGAGAGGGCAATAAAACCGGAACGCTGTGAAAATGTTTCCCTGTTGAAGGGAAAGAATCCTCCCACTCTCTTGGAATCACCCATTTGGGGGCGAGCATAGGGTCCTTTAATTAAGGGTCCTTAGGTATCAACCAGCATAATGTCCGTATTTCCTAGCCCAGGAAACAGGAGCTCGGGGAGGTTAAATGACTTGTTTGAACCCCACTGTGAGCTAATGCAGGCAGCGAGAACCTGAGCCTGTGCTTCTCCACTGCACTGGGCTGCTGCTGGGGTTTGCTGCAAACAGTCAAATTGCTTCTTAATTGGAGTCTCCTGCTTAATTAGCTGCTTCCTGAGCAGCCTGTGCTCCCTGTTCGGAAATCTCAATCAACACCATCTTCTCTAAATTGGTGTGACCTCGCTCTTGTCGTCTCCCCCACACTGGGGTTTGCTTCATGATTGTGCCCAGTAGCGGGGACAGAGCGGGTGGGGTGTGCAGACAGCCTTTAGGGAGACTGTGCTGTTCTCGCCACCGCCCCCTGCTCCAGGGATTTCATTCGCAACCGCCCTACCAGGGTCAGGGCTGGGGAGCAGGGCTGGGGGGCAGGCACAACTAACTTCCCGTGTGATTTGGGTAAACATCTGTCCCTCTCTGGGTCTCACTACAAGTCTCCAAATTAGGCTGTGAGGCTTAGCACGTGAGAATACAGGGTGCTCCTTTGCATTTGAATTTCTGTGAAAAACAAATCATTTCTGAGTATGTGTCCACTGAACAGTTTGTTGTTGCTTATCTGAAATTCCAATTTAACTGAAAATACTGTATCTGACAATTCCATCCCAAATAGAACATTTTGCTCCATTCTGCTCTATAGAGCTAGCCTGGTGTAGCACCCAGAGCGGGCTGCAGTGTGAACCCCAGATCTGCCGCCCACTTCTGTGGGATCTCCTGCAAGTCACTGCACCTCTCTGAAAGTCAGTTTCCTGCATTGTAAGATGGACATGTTAATCCCTCATTGGTTCCCTCAGAACTGAAGTGAGCACACAAACAAAAGGACATAATTAAAATTCCTCAATAGACTGTAAAATGTGCTATGAATGCAGACATTTATTAAAGGCCTATTATACATGACCCTATTAAATCTGAGGAAAAAAGGTAACAGTGCAATTGGGAAGACATTCGTGTAAGAAAAGTCTGAAAAAATTAAAAGGAAAAAAAGAAAAATCTGAGACTTTTTCACAGAATCCTTTCATGAAGTGAAATTCCATCAGGAATCTGAATTTGGTCTGCTATGAACTGATCAGGGATTAGATGCTTTAGGGGAAAAAAATCCTTGCAGTCCTGGGAAAGAACCATCCTTGGGTTTGATTCCAGAAAGAGCTAGAATGATTTTCTGGACAAGCTGGGCTTTTAAATTTACATTTGGGAGGGAACCTGACTGATGTTAATCAATTTGGGTGGAATCTTTCCCATCTTGCCTTTGGGCCTTGGATACATTGTTAGAAATAAACAGACTTCACTTGATTCCCACCTTTCAGAAGCCCAGACTAATGGGGTAGATGTCAGTGAAAGGACCTGCCAGCATCCCTTCTTGTTAAGAGAAACTACCTCAGCTACCTCAAATGATAGGGGAAAATATTTGCAAATCATATATTGATGAATGATTCATATCCAAGATCTACAAAGAACTTCTACAACTAAACAACAAAACACAGACAAGCGTATTTAAGAGTGGGAAAAAATATTTGAATGGACATTTCCCCAAAGAAAATACACAGATGGCCCAAAAGCACAGGAAAAGATGCTTAATATCACTAATCATTTGGGAAATACAAATCAAAACTATAATGAGATAATACTTCACACCTGTTAGGTTAGTGATAGTAAAACAAAACAAAACAAAAAGACCTCTAACAAGCGTTGGCCAGAATGTGGAGGAGCTGGGCCCTTGTACATCCTAGCGGGAACAGGAAACCAAGCAGCTGCTATGGAGACAGTACGATGGTTTCCCAAAAAGTGACATGCAGATGGCCATGTGATCCAGCAATACTGCCTCTGGGTGTCTACCCCAAACAGTTAGGGTCTCAAAGAGTTGTTAGCACACCCGTGTTCATAGCAGCACAAAGCACCATATTCAAAATGTGGAAGCAACCCAGGTCCCCATCAACGGATGACTGGAAAAGTCAAATGTGGCCTCTACACAAATACGATTGCCATTCAGCCGAAAGGGGAAGAAGTTCTGACTGGTGCTACATGGAACTAAGTGAAATAAACCATTAAAGGAAGAAACACTGCATGGTCCTGCCCACAGGAGGCTTCCAGAGTGGTCAGAGGCAGAGACAGCAGAAGGTACAGGAAGGATAATGGGGAGTTAGTGTGTAATGGCTGCAGAGTTTCAGTTTGGGATGATGAAAAATGTCTGGAGACCGTGGTGATGGTTGCTCAACAGTATACATTCTTTGACACCACTGAATTGGACACTTCAAAAAGGTAAAAATGGTAAATTTTTGTTTTATGTGTATTTTATGATAAATAAAAGGAGGGGTAAGGAAGTAGCCTAAATGGTTTCTTTTATATTTTTAAAAAGGACCTATCTCTTAGGGAAACCTACACTGGCACTCTCCCCATTCCTCCACCCTCCACCCTATGAAATTCTCGGTGTGTGGGCATTTCAGTCACACCGGGGGCCCTGTGATTGGTCAAGCATGTGACTTGAGCTGACTGGCTGAAAACCCTTCGTGAAACTGTTCCTGGGGGAGCTGGCAAAGGCAGCTTTACCACTAAGGCTAATCAAGAAGGAATCTAAGTCAAGAGCTGCCTCTGGCACCTTTGCTGTCAAATTGGAAGGACCTGACTGAGAGTGAGACCAGCTTATTGGGATGCAGAGTGGGGAGGCCAAGGGAGACAAGCCTGCTTTGTTTGAGCAAAGTTCAAAGCCTGAGCAAGTTCAAAGTCTGCATAGGAAGTTCCCCAAGTCTGTAAACCCCTGTGCTGATTTGAGCTGGACTTTCTGTCACCTGCCACCAACAGACAGTCCCTGTCTGCTAAGATACACAGAGGTTTCAAATGAAGACAAAGCCTCCCAGTGCCTTTGGGACTAACCTAGCCTGACCGTGGGGCAGAGGACATTCTATGACATCTTGGGAGCGGGCCTGAGTCCGCTAACTGAACTTGACCTGTATTCCATAATACCGTTCACATGCAGGAAGCAGATGCACATTCAACTTGCAACAACTCAAACATGACAGTGAGCGAGACCAGAGCTGAATCCCTTCATCCTTCCCTAGTCCCCACCCCATTAAACCTGACCTTGATCTTCCCTGTCCTAAGGAAAACAAAGCCACAGCTCCAAGGAAAGCAAAACCAGAGTCAAAATGAAAAGAGGAAAAAAAGTTTATTATTCACATTTGAACTTTCAAGATCCCTAAATTCTGTAAATTCAGGGTGATCTAAGGGCAGCTCCAAGGCAAACTGACCATAATGGCGTCTGTGTCTTAGATAGGCTGCCGCACCCAAGGGCCGCGTTAGGCAGAAGTTCTTTACCTTCCTCCAGCCGCCGCCTTTTACAGGTTTTAGAATTCTCCTTTCACGGACCCCTTTGTATTGATGGATAAAAACTTGATCGCTACAACAGACGCCAGAACACCAGTCAGCTTAAATTTACCCGAATTCTTCCCTCCTTCGTAAAGTCAGTGGGTGGTTCAGGTCAGGTAATCCAGCTCTGGAATAATCCAGACCCTAACTGTTACTCCGCCATTGATGTATGGTTCTTCAGGTCAACACATGGCGACTGCAACTTCCACCGAGGAGCCATTTTCCCCTCTGTGAAAGCTGGAAAAGCAGGTCCACATGGCAAGCTCCTTCCTTCCATAGGCACAGGCAGGCCGCAGCTCACATGACCCTGTTCGCATGCTATTGGCCAGGCTGCAGCCCACGTGACACTGCGCTCACGCTATTGGCCAGGCCGCAGCTCACATGACCCTACTTGCACGCTATTGGCCAAGCTGCAGCTCACGTGACCCTGCTTGCACACTATTGGCTAGGAGCAGCTCATGTGAGCTCCCACACTAGTGGCTAGGCCACAGCTCACATGACCCTGCTCACATGCTATTGGCCAGGCTGCAGCTCACGTGACCCTGCTTGCACACTATTGGCCAGATCATTGCTCACGTGACCTCCTGCTCGCACGCTATTGGCCAGGCCACAGCTCATGTGACCATGCCTGCACACTATTGGCCAGGCCGCAGCTCACGTGACCCTGCCTGCACTCTATTGGCCAGGAGCAGCTCATGTGACCCTGCTCGCACGCTATTGGCCAGGAGCTACTCACATGACCCTGTTGGCCAGAACGTAGTCACGTGACTGTAGCTGCAAAGGCATCTGGGAAATGTGTTTGGTTGGGCCGATGTCCTCAGCCAGAACGCAGTTTCCATTCAGACGATGGGAAGAGCAGCCAGGCCCTGGGTGAAGGAGCCTTGGCGTACCACCCCTGTGCAGTGAGCTTTTGGTGGGAGTCCATGGAGCTGCCCACGGAAGAGGAGGAAGAGCCACATGGTCTGTTGCAGGTGGGGTTCCTGGGGAAACAGTGTCTGAAAGATATAGGAGGAGGTGGTTTGTTCATCTGTACCCTGGGGAGCAGACCCCGGAGGGCGTCAGAAAAGGAGGAAGCGGCTCTGGGCGTTGGGGAAATTTAATTTCCCCGCACAGTTGCAGAAGGCACCAGGACGCCACAGTGGGGAGCACGTGGCCAGAGGTGCTCAGGAGCTGGGACACGAACCCTGAAGTGACGAGTCATGGGGTGGGGGCAGCGAGCCTTTGTAAACACCCCCTGTTCACCATTTGTGGGATGGGCTGTCCTGGGGAAGGCAGCGGCCCATCACCTACTGCCTCCCCTTCCTCCCCAGGGCCAGGTAGAAGTTAACCAAGGGTGGCTGAGCTCCATGCCAACCTGCGTGCCCCTTCCCAGAAGATGAACTCAAGTAAGGAAAGCAGACAATAGCCAGGCCTAGTCCAGTTTTGAGACTCCCCGGGGTCTGGGGCGCGGGGCAGGGGGGCGGAGGGTGGGGAGGGGCAGTGGTCTCTGCTGTTAACGTCTCCTGGTGGGGCTTGGGTGCCCCGGGTCTGGGAACTGGATGGAAAGAAGCGGGCATGTGAACAGGCTCCGCAGGTGAGCACCAGCTCAGATATGAATTTTAGGAAGATCCCTTGGCAGCGCCCGTGTTCACTCAGTAGGGCTCCATCTTCCCCGGTGGAGCCAGGCCTCGCCCTTGACGCTCCCTTGGTACATCCTGCAGTTGTCACCCGCTCACTTGCTGTTTTTCCCACTGGCCTGGAGGCCAGGGAGGGTCCCCAGGGCAGCATGGGCCTGCAGTAGCATGGGGGTGAAGAGCACACCCCTGTTCAGATTTGTAGGGTGCA